TTGACTTTTTTATTTACCTTTAAATTTGTAAATCTTATAACTTAAAATAATTAAAATCTAGCAAAACTATATAGCTATATAATATTGTAATATTGAGGAACTGTGTTCTTAACATAAACTGATCAGTCTGCATTTAATGCATCTCGTCGCCTGAGTTGGAAGCGATTTCAATTTTGGCCTGGCCCATGCGACACTGGAGGTTGCGGTTGATGTTGTCCACCATGTCGAAGGCTTCGATGATCAGCTCGGGCTCGTTCTGCGCCTTTTCGCTCATCTGCTCGAGGCTGTGTCGCAGCTGTTTGTGCTCCCCGCTGGCGTCTCGCTGCTCGGCACGCTGGAACAGCGTGTTGCTGGCCCGGGCAAAGAGGGCAGCCGTGCCGCTGCCGTGCTGCAGCTGGCGGTCGAGCTCGTCGGGCAGCGGGAACTCGAGCTCCAGGGCGAAGCGGCGCAGCTGCTCGAACTTGCTCTTCATCTGCTTCTCATTCTGGCTGTAGCTGATGACGACAGCTTGCAGCACCACCTCGCTGCCAGGCAGCTGGATGTAGGCGATGACGTCCTTGAAGTGATTCTCCTGGCGCCACACAGTGCGGCTATAGGGGATTACCTGGTAGACAACCATTTCGGGCTCAGGGCTGTACTGCACGAGGAGCCAAGTGTTCTCGTCCATCGACTCCGGGGCGGCGTCCAGCTGCTCATCGAAGGCGTGGTCGAAGCAGCGCGCCTTCAGGTGCAGCAACACCTTCTCCATATAGTTGCGCTGCTCGTAGGCGTACAGCACATGCCCAATGCAGCCCGGGCCCAGTTTGACCAGCGGCGTGCCGCCCAGCTCCGGCTTGGTGCTCAGCCAGGCAACGCGGCTGGGCGATATCAGCTTGTGCACCAGTCGCTCGCCCGCTGCATCCTCCTCGTTGTATTGCACCAGCAGCTGGCGTGCATTGTCGTCCTCGTCCTGCTGCTCCTTGCTCATGGCCAAGAGGGCGGCGTCGACCAGTTTCCGCTCATCGGCGGCCAAAATGAGCTTCGCCTCCAGCTTCACGCCGTTCACCCGAAACTCCACGAACCGTGTCATGTATTTATCGGAGACGTCTGTCTCCAGCAGCTCCATGCTGTGCAGCACGCAGTAGCGCTTCTTGCCATTCGGCTCACCGTTGTCCATCGCACCCTCGTCCACCTCGGCCAGAAACCAGGAGAGACGCGTTGCTGCCGCAGCACCTGAATTGCCCGCCCCGCCACAAATGGCCGAGTCATCCAAGCCGCTGTCGTTGCTGATGTTGCTCATGACTGAAGAGTTGTTAATTATTTTGTAAGTTGCTCGTATCGAAACGTTCTGTTGCTTTGCTCTTGGCAAACTGATGGTCGTTGCTCGCCAACGCAGCCTTTTAAAGGGCAGCTCCTGTTGCCCGTTTGGGACAGGTAGTCAAGATATCAACGCATTATGACCTGCAAGTTGCGCGGATTAACCCATTCGCAGATTTGTCGCGCAGCTGCTCGGCTTGCCGGCCATAAAGGATTTTGTCACCCACTTCGCAGGCTTCAGACTGTGTTAAGCTATTCGTAATGTACCTGCGTAAAAAAAGGTTAGCTAGAGACAGACAGAAGTACTTATTGTTTATTGCCTTAAAATTTTCCATTAGAAATGTTATCATAAATTCTTTTCTTATATTAATTTTTTTCAGAGCTCAAAAATATTTAAGTAAATATTAAATCAAGCCCCGAAAATAATTAATAAAATAAAAATAAATCAAAGTTCTATTATTTAGGGCGAGAAACATAAAATATATTCTCAAGTGAGACTAATCAAAAAGAATGTATAAATTAATTTGTTTGCAATAAATTAAGATATTCACTAAATGTTAGTACTCATTTTACATGAAAACATATTATATATCCATTAAATATTATATAAAAGAAATTAAAAAAAAAAATTGAATAATGTTGAAATGCTAAAATTTATATATATTTACTAACTCAAACACTGGCAATAATTTACTATAAATTATTTTACGGCTTTTTAGACCATAAAAGTACTTCCAACATTCTTATTTGGTTTTATATTTGTATGCGAATAACAATAAAAGTTTAAGCTCTTTTGCTGCATTCCGTTTATTATGCATTCAAAAATATTGAATCTCATTATTTATATACTCTGAACCCGTTGAAAATGGAAAATCAGTGTGTAATGGGTTTGTTAAGAAATGTTTTCATTTAAAAGCCCTTCAACAAGCATTCAATTGCAGCTAGCCAATTAATTGAAGCAAAAATAGTTTATTTAAATAATTTCCCTACATAATTCACAAATCGCTTGCTTGATCATTCAACAATACTTAACAAATAAAAACAGCAATGCATGTTTTCGTATACAAATTTAAAACTTTTATTCTGATAAATTGCCCAAAGTAACTGAACTTACTTAGCCCACGTTCTTATGAATGAGCAATCGAGAAAAGGGTTCTTTGTTGCTGCTTAAGTTGATAGCCACTCTGTCGGCTGGCACTCCCAGCACTTTGGTGATGAACTCTTGTGTGCGTGAGTCCAGCTTGATGACAGATTCGCCAGCATCTTCGGCTTCAGATCCAGCTTTGTCCCTTGGGCTGCTGCGCGGCATGAGCTCAAATGGAATGCCCAGTGGACGGCCAATTGGTGCGATGGTATTACGCACATCGACTGCACAATAGGTGCGAATGTCATCGAAGAAGCCCCTGTTGACCGCCTCTTGGACGGCCGCGTTGGTGGCCAGCAAACAGCCGAGAACTTGGTGCGACGCCTTCAGCTGCACGCTGATGTGATAGACATTGTCAGCACGGAGCAGTATAGAGAACTGAATGTCCTTGGGGCTTCGATGCCCAATCAACTTTTTCAGCTCACACACCAGATCATGGGCCACCGGCTGCTTTCTGTTCGAACAATTTCTACAAACATTTGAGGACTGACGACGCAGCTGAATTGGGGGCTCACAGCATTTGCAGTCACAGCCCCTGCATGACTTCGGTGGAGTGTTGCAGGGCTTTATGAGAAAAGAGCATCCGTCGTGGTGCTCCTTACATTCTGTGAATATCCTAGGATCCAGCGATCTGTCAGCAGTATGGTATTTTGATTTTTCAGCTATTGAATGGTGCCGACAGTCAGTAGAGGGCTTGACTGGCTCGCCCAAGCTGTTCGCAACACAGTCAATTGTGCTGTGATGGCTTGCAGGAGTCGAATGCTTCGCTGTCTTGGGTATCCTGTAGACCTTCCAATCGGTTTCGCTCTGCCCGCACGCATTGCTACCATCTTCGTTGTATAGTACAATCAAGTCCCTTGAGTTCTTTACCTCTGGATCGCACCTTACATGGCCCACGGTTGGCCCCAGCTCCTTCGATTTCAGCAATGCGATATTTGCATGTAGCTCATTCACTCCGACTTCAAGTCTGTCAACCTGATGTTTGATTCTGCCAAATTGGCCGTCCATTTTCGATATAGACTCGCAGCTGTAGTATTTATCCACCTCCCTGTGGTCCGTGTGGCCAACGACAATGTTTGTTGGTCTGTGATTCCTTTCATCTTGTTCGTTTCCCTTTTTCTCAGATGGCACAACTATTGTTGGATGCTTGAGATATTTCTCTGGAGTCGTATGCGTTCTTTCACCTTCTACTATATTTTGCTTATTCAAATTGAATAAGCTCCGGTCCTCAAATCGAACTGCTTTGACCGCTGATTGCTTGGAGGCAACCGGCTCAGACTTATTGTCAGCCGGATCGTCGCGGGTTTGAATGAAATTCCTCACTTTATAGCCCGATCGCACACTTGGCTGCCTGTTGGTTGATGTTGACACGGGTGCCTCGCTCGGTCGGCTGATGCCCGCCGACGTATAATAATACTCAGAGAGAGGTTTCTTGATTTCATTGCGTTCGTGCGGCAGTACATCAGATCGTATTAACTTGCTCGTACTCGGATCGTGGTGATGGACTAGTACCTCTCGTGGCTCCGGCTGCTTAGTTTCGACGATTGTGACTTTACGCTTTTTCGAATCGTCCGACGGCTCGGTCTGAGTTCCGCTGTGCTGAACAGCTGGCCTGCTCCTGGGCGCACAGCTCTCGTCCTGCACTGCGATTGGGTCCACTTCGTCGAAAACGATGCAAGTGGGCCGTCTTCCGCAATCAGGTAGATGTTGAGTGGCATTCGCGTGCTGCTGTCGTGGCACATCATCGTTGCCGGGACATCTGTGCAGCGATCCGCCTGCAGGTAGGCGAGACTTCTTGTGGACCGCCGCCGGCACTGATCCGTGTTGCCTTTGCATCCAGTGCAGCCGGTACAGAGCTCTCAAATATTTTCTATAGGCGCGTATGACATCTGCAAAGCGAAGAGCAATAAATCGGGTATTCTGCAGAATTTACCTGAACTCGCTCGTATTGGCTAGGGTATAAAAGAGCGATGCTTATTAAGCAGGGCATTCAGTTATCAATTGGACAACAGACGTGAACATGGTAAGTGGACACATTACTCCTGCTCTAATACGATTTTATTTGAATCTCAATTGTTCTCTTCCCCTAGATCAATCGCCGTCAACGCTTGGAATTTGCGCTCAGCATTTTGCCGTACGACCACAGAACTGTGGAGCTGTCGCCGGCCCAGAAGCAGGTGGAGCGAATCATCGCAAGACTGCGCACAGACGACACCTCCGGCGAGGAGGAGAGCGAGGATGAGAAGATGCGCCAGAAGCAGAGCAGCGCTTCCGGCTTCGCCGAGCAGACGATGCGCTGCATCGAGAAAGCCGAAACTGGCGACGTCGTCTACCCGAAGCCTAAGAAGATGCTGAGCACACTGGCGACGCTGACGCTGGCTGCTGAGAAGCTGCTGAAAACACAGTGCAAGGTGGACGAGGAGAACGTGGAAGAGCAGGACGATTTTAACGAGGACTCGGCCATGGATGCGGAGACGGCACTGGCCAAGCTCGATCGCCGCGAGCTCATGGAGAACAGCATTCAGGCCATGAACCAAGCGCGGCTCAAGATGCTGCAGCGTTGGGAGCGCAGCAAGCGCAAGGCGCTCGACCTGCTCATGATCGAGATCGAGAAGGTGCAGACCATGGACCAGGAGCATGAGCATCGAGCGGCACACTTTGACCTGTTCCGCGAGGGCACTGACGAGCACAACACCTCCACGCCCAAGACCAACGAGGACGACGACGACGAGAAGGAGAACGACAATGTCATTGAACTGGACGATGACGATGAGGACTATGTGCCGCACTCTGCGGACAGCAACAAGCGCAAGCGGCTGAAGAAGCTCGTCACATCCACGCCGAATGGCAAACATTTTCCGCACTTTGAGTTCGATCGTGATGCCAAGTCGTCCATGGTCACCATTGGACCGAATGGCACGCAGATATCGCGCGCTACACTGCGCAACATAAACTGGACCATGTCTGGCCCGGCCATAACACGAAAGCTGCTCTGCGAGATCTTCGATCGGGACACCTTGGCCTTCCACACGCTCTCTGGCAAGCCCTCGCCGGCATTCAAGGACTGCGCCCGGCCCAGCAAGCAGCAGCTGGACCCGCTCAAGGTGGCCGACCTGGTCTACCTGATGACCAACAGCATGCAGATGACGCCCCGAGAGGTGCGCACAGCCATCACGACCAAGTGCGCCGACGAAAACAAAATGCTGCGCACTCGACTGCAGCGGCGTCCACGCAAGACCATCTAATCCTAACAGTCCTATCGTATTTTAGCAACTAAGACCTAGCCTTAAGCCCAGTGCATTGAATTTTAAATTTCAAATTTCTATAGAATAAACACATATGCATATCGAATTCACCTGAGTTGAAGCTGCCGTGGGGTCGGACCACATATATCTCGAACATTTGTGCCCATCCAAATGCACATCCAAAAAGAATTCGATACAGCCAATTACGAATTTTGAATTTTTAAAACACAAATACGGACTACTGTGTTGGCAGTTGAATTAACTGGAAATCATGATTCATATTTACGAATGGGCTAAAAATTTTAGAATATTTGGGTATGCCAATGGATTGACGGATGGGCTATGCGGAAGGTATTTGGTTATATTGTTACATGATATAGTTTATAAATAATAACAAATAAAAGTTTCTGACTTGTACCTATTTATTTCATATGAAACTCATTAATTGTTCGTTCAACAAATTAAGATTTTTGGCTCATCTAAATCGATGGGAGAATTTAACTGTAATTGAAGGGATAATTTTTGAGCTCTAAAAAAATGGCAGAATTAATTGAACAGCTGTATATTCATATTAATAATATTAAATCAAATATATCTCATGAAATATATTTAGCTTTAATTTAACAATTATATTAAATAAAAAATATCATCAATTCATTGTTGTGAATTTTTAATTTTCTATCTAAAAAAATCAAGTAAAGTAAATTTCCATTGAGCAAAGTTTATTTATTATATGTACATAGATATGCTTATCATACTTAAATATTTTATATAAAAGCACGTGAAGGTAAAAAAAACTTCTTCTCACCCACGGCATTCCGGCTCAACTTAGCATTTCTCACACATTCAGTTGATGGAATTAATTTAATTATATATTTAACAAATATCCACAG